GAGGAGAGAGAGGAGAGAGAGAGAGGAGAGAGAGAGAGGAGAGAGAGGAGAGAGGATCCTGTCTCAAAAATAAATAAATAAAACCTGAGTCTGTCGTTTTCCTCGACTTTACACTGATCAGGTTACTGACTCTTCTGAGCTTTAATGGCCTCGTTACTAACGTGGAGATAATAATCCATACCAGGGAGGATTTAGGGATTCAGTGAGAGTCTACAGAGGGCACCTGGCCTTGGGTTTGGCACATGGCGGCGCCCAGGAAGTGGCAGCTCTTCCGTCTGGGACCCTCCCTCTCCCCGGGCCTGTATCTTGTGACTCCTGCAGGGCCCTTCACTGAGCCATTTGCTTCCTGCCTTACCTAGAGGTCGAAGGTGTAACTTTTTCTCATTCCAAGGAAGTGCAGTTCCTCAAATGCTTCTTGAACACCAGCAACAGGGTCCACATTGAGACCAGAGGAGCCGGGAGCCACTCTGCTGCCACTTTGCCTCTAGGACACTCAAGGCCAAATGACAGAGAGGAGCAGTAAGTCAAGCCCAGAGCAGCCACTTGATAGGGTGGGACAAGTGACAGAGAGCTACAAACACCTGCGGGGGGAGTCAGGGGAGGGCCTGGGGGCTTCACAGTTTGAGTGTTGTCTAAACTCACTCATTCCAACAGGAGCCCGGGTCCTACTCCAATCCCAGGAATCTGGGGGCCTGGGTCCAGAGCAAAAGCATGGAGCCCAAAGCACATGGACAGTGTCTGCAGGGAAGCCTGGCTCAAGAACTCAGCAGACTGTCAGCTCTGGGTCCAATTCCAAGACGCTCCCAAGGCCCGAGGTAGGCATTCGACACACTTGATTATTGAAGGTGCTGTCAAGCCCAGGGGCGTGAGGGAGGAAGAGGAAGGCGGGAATGCCGTCTCAGCTGGAGTCGAACTTCAGCCTTCCTACAGAGCCTCAGAGCGGGAGCCACAGCACTGAGTCGGCTTCACCAGGAGACAAAGGGGCCAGGTTTTTGTACCCTGTGCTGGTCAGTCGTTAGCTCTGGGTTTTGGAGAAGAGGGTGAGTGTGCCTGTGTGAGCCAATTCCTGCTGGGCTGAGGATGATTCTGCCAGGGGGGCAGCCCTGAGCGCTCTGAGCCCACATTTCTAGCTCCCGGAGGTTGGCTGCCCCGGCCCAGCACGCTGTCCAGGTGGAGATTTACCCCAGGGAGGGTAGGCAGAGGCAGAACTTGGCGGGAACAGCCACATGGAAACTGGATATAGAAGGTTTGTTTTGTTATTGTTGCTGTTTGAGACAGAGTCTCGCCCTGGCACCCAGGCTGGAGTCCAGTGGTACGATCTTGGCTCACTACAACCTCTGCCTCTCAGGTTCAAGCAATTCTTATGCCTCAGCTTCCAGAGTAGCTGGGAATACAGGTGTGTGCCACAAGCCTGGCTAATTTTTGTATTTTGGTAGAGAAGGAGTTTACCATGTGGGCCAGGCTGGTCTTGAACTCCTGGCTTCAAGCGATTCACCTGCCTCGGCCACCCAAAGTGCTGGGATTACTGGTGTGAGCCACTGTACCCAGCCAGGATATGGGTTTTAAAATAGCGTCCTCATCTTGAATGGTCCAGCTTCCAAAACTGTGATGACTAAGTTGTTCTTTAAGCCACCCAGTCTACAGGAATTTGTGACAGCAGGTCAAACTGACCAAGACGACATTCTTCTCCCATGGTCTCTCCCTCTCCCGGACAGCTTGTCAAGCCCTGATCTCTCTTTTTCTGGCCATTTCTCAAGGTTGTGTTGGAGCAAGCACCCTTGGAAGATGAGATAGTGTCCCTTCCCCAGACAACAAGCAGGCCTCTGTGGGCAGCGGGTTCCCCTGGCCCTGTGTCCTCTCCCATCTAGACCTGCCTGCATCACGGCTGAGGCCTTGGAGCTCAGGGAGCTGAGGTGATCATGCTGACACTCTGGCTTCTGCTCTTGCTGTGAGTAAGGTCGTCTTTAGTCCCTGACCCAGGCGTCTCTCAGCTCCTGTCAGCCCCATGCACCGAGGCAGGCCCTCTCACCAGCTTACAAGCAGGGAGCATCTCAGCCTCTTCACAGCCCTTGGCATCCAGCACTGGTCACTGCCACTTCCAGCGGCCGCAGCCTACGCATGGACCACAGACACATGGGAGGTTCCTCTCTCAGCCTCTTGCCGACACCCAGAATACCCACAGTTCTCTTTGTCTCATTTCTTTCCTCTCCCAAACCAAGTAGCACCTCAGGCTTCCCCTCACATCAGGTGTCTTCACAGGACCCCTTGCCCCAGCCTCTGTCTGAGGGCGGGGCCTCCGGCACAGCCTACAAAGCCCTTGGGACCTACGCTTCCTGCTCTGATGGTCCCAACTCGGAGCTCTGCCCCATCAGAAACTTGCACTGCAGCAAGGTCAACCTTTCTGTTCCCCGAAGTTCATGCCCTTTTATGCTGTTCTTTCTGCCTGGAGTTATCCTTCATTGTCTTTGCCTCATTCTTCAAGACTGAATTCCAGAGATACTTCGTCCAGAAAGCCTCCCCTGTGGTCTGGCTAGCTCAGTCAGCTTCTCTAACACCCTGTGTCCCCACTGCATGTTGCACACAACAGCAACAACGAATACCACAGGCACTGGCCAGCTTCCCTGCTCTTCCAATACTGGGGGCTCCCTGGAAGCAAGAACTGCATGTTACTCTTTCCAGTAGATGTAACGTCTAGCTGGGGTGGTGCCCAGAAATCTTTCTTTTTCCTTCCTTCCCTCTTTCCCTCGTTCCCGCCTTCCCTCCTTCCTTTCCTCTCTTTCTCTCTTTTCCTCCTTCCTTCCCTCTTTTTCTTCTTTCCTTCTTTCTTTCTCTTTCCTCTTTTTTCTTTCTTCTTTCCTTCCTTCCTCACTCCCTCCTTCTCTTCCTCCCTCCCTCCTTCTTCCTTTCCCTCCCCTCCCCTCCCTTCCTTTCTCCTCCCTTCCCCTCCCCTGTCCACTCCTTACACAGGGTGTTGCTCTGTGGCCCAGGCTGGATGGAGTACAGTGACACGATCACAGATCACTGCAGCCTTGACCTCCTGGGCTCAAGCAATCCTCCCTTTTCAGCCTCCTGAGTAGCTGGGACTACAGGTGTGTACCACCACACCAGGCCAGAAATATTTCTAGGAAGAACAAAATGAATGAATGAATGAATGCCCACCCTTTGCACAAATACTTCACTTACTGCCACTGGCCAAAGTGATCTCATTCCTCTGAACTCCCATGGGACTTTCTTCATGACGGTCCACGGGAATGTTTCGCATTTCCCATCTCCAGCCTGCCTTTATGATCCTCACTCACAGCCCTTGGGGGTCAAGTCTGTATCTTCTCCTGGTTCAGATGGATCTTAGGTCACTCTGGAGTTTTCTAGCTTTCAATTTTATAGGTGTATTATTTTAAAATCCCTAGAAAGCTAATCCAAGAATAGCAAGAAGAGCTATGGAGTTTGTTAAATTTTATTTAGGTTAAGGGATGAATTTCACTTCAGTGCTGAGTGTATGCTAATTTACATGTCTATTTCGGATATAATAACCAAATCAATCTCCTGGGAGAAGAGAAGGGCGTTGTGTTTTCCATGTCCCTCTGTTTATTCACCGTCTCTGAGCAGGTTTCAGGAGATAAATTCATTCAAAATTCCAAAAATATTTATTGAGTGTCTAATAACATTCCTGCCCCGGGGACCTGGCAATGCGTCGGCAGGGAACGAAGCTCTGATTTCATTTATGGGCCAGAAGCCTGAACAGAGCCTCTGCCGCAACAGCAAAGGGCAAGCTGCCCAGGGGTTGATCTGAAAAATCTGAGAACCCAAAGAGAACTGAGCAAACACATGAATGGATGGATGCCTTTTGACAGCTCCACCTAGAATGCAATTTGCCCTACTCCACTTTCTCCACTCATCAGAGCACACATCTTCCAGAATGTTCAGCAGCTCAGCTCAGAGAAGGGCTCTCTCTAGGCAGTAACGAGGGTGGGAGGTCTCCAAACAGTGGGCAGAGCAGCACCCGGGCAACAGCTCAGATGATCACCTGCGGGGAGAGAAGAGGACTTTTTTTTACAAGTCACCGTAAATTTATTTCCAATCCTAGTTTAGTTCCTTGGGAAACAAAGATAACTTCTATGCTTATTTTGTCACTTCTGTATTTGTGAGATGGAAAATAACAAAAATAACATTATGATGAGATGAAGATCCAGTCGTTTTTCTCTTTCCCTTTTTTGAAGTCATGGTCTTGCTCTGTTGCCCAGGCTGTAATGCAGCTGCACATCGGAGCTCACTGCAGGCTGGAACTCTCGGGCTCAGCGATCCTCCCACCTTGGCCTCCTGAGTAGCTGGAATTACAGGGGTGAACCACTGTGCCCAACTCTCCAGTCATCTTTTACCACACACCGTTAAGAGCTCCAGTAGATTCTGTGATCTGAGACCCAACATCCAAACAAGTAGTAAAATTTGGAGAAAGGAAGCTCTCAGTCAGGACATGTTCTGCCTCAGTGATTAAAAGTCTGGTTCTCAGCTGGACGTGGTGTCTCACGCCTGTAATCCCAGCACTTTGGGAGGCTGAGGCAGGTGGATCACCTGAGGTCAGGAGTTCAAGACCAGCCTGGCCAACATGGCGAAACCCCGTCTCTACTAAAAATACCACACACAAAAAAATTAGCCGGGCATGGTGATGGGCACCTGTAGCCCTAGCTACTCGGGAGGCTGAGGCATGAGAAACACTTGAACCCGGGAGGTAGATACAAGGAGCCAAGATCATCCACTGCCGTCCAGCTTGGACAAGAGCAAAACTCCGTCTCCAAAAAATAAAAAAAGTTTGGTCCTTATGGTCAGACAGAGAAGGGCTGTAGTCCTACCGACACTGCTTATGACTTGGGGGACCACAGTGGGGGAAGCTGTAGATCACCTTTGAGCTCGTTTTCCTCACCTGTAAGTCAGAAACAGTAGCCCTGCCTGTCACTGTGCTTCGGCCATGCGATGCACTCCTGCTGGTCTCAAAGAGGTACGGTGGCTTTCTCTGATGCACGCCCCTACCCCAAGGAGAGGTGTGCTTGGATCTGTGTTTGTGTCAGGCTCCTTCACTAAACATGGAGCACATTGTGGGCTGGTACCTGGTCTTGTTCATCTCTGTATGAGGGACAGAGTATTTGTCCACATGAGTGTTCTCTCCCTCCTCCTACCCCCAACCAGCTCCGTAGGGTTTTCCTTTGTCTACTCAGGTATTCCCTCTTTTCTACCCTCTAAAAAAGAGTTTAGTCTTTACTGGGCAAGAAAGAAAATGCCTGCGGAAACCTGGGTAGAGAGAAACAGGGCCTGGGCTGCTGGAGGAAAGAGAACAAGACACAGCCAGAGAGGCCGAGTGGAGCTACAGGGTGGAAAGCTGACAGATTCTGGGAAGAGCAGAGGAGGATGGCAGGAAAGCCAAGCAGGCTGGGCGTCAGGAAGTGTTCGGAGGGAATCGGGCAAGTAGGATGTTCTGGGGCATCTGCTATCTGCTGAAAAGAGACAAGAGAGAAGTTGGAAACGTTCGAGGGGTTATGAATTTGTTCCCCATTAATGTTCATTAAAAGATGCAAGATGGCCAGGCATGGTGGCTCTTTCTTATAATCTCAGCACTTTGAGAGGCTGAGGCAGGAGGATCACTTGAGGTCAGGAGTTGGAGACCAGCCTGGGCAACATAATAAGATCTCATCTCTACCAAAATTTAAAAATTAGGTGACATGTGTCTGTAGTCCCAGCTACTCATGAGGCTGAGGTGGGAGCATTGCTTGAGCCCAGGAAGTTGAGGCCACAGTGAGCCACAGTTGCTCCACTGCACTTCAGCCTAGGCAACAGAGTGAGACTCTGCTTAGAAAAGAGAAGATGCAAAAGAAAACTTATAATTGGTTTGAATTAAGTTTAATTATTTTTGGCCTGTGTGTTTTTAAATGTGTCTCCATACATAAACTAAGCTACATGGAGCCCCAAAGTGTGTCTGGGTTACACTCACCTCCTCAGAGCCTCGAGGGTATCCGATACTAGCAGGTATTTCAGCTGGTGCGTTGAACTGACTGCGTGATGCTGTTTGGTGGGGAAAGACTTAACACCTTGTCTTACTGTCCAAGCCGCTTGTATCATCACAGCCACGCTGCTGCCACAACAGAGGGAGCTGCTGCACAAAGGCACGGAATTTTGGAGGGACGTGTTCAGTCTGAGAATAGATAACTCTAGGGGTTTATTTTTTCAGCCCTGCATAATCTCCTGGGAGCCCCTTTTCTAGTTCATGACAATGACCTCCCCACTGGTGGGTAACCTGATGAAGACAATCAGATTCGTTCTCCTTGGAGCTTGAAATTGTGACTAATGCTTTGGTCTCAGATCGGGCTGGTTAGCTTGAGCAGATACGTAAACTCAGAGTCTCTGAAGCAGCCAGGTTTGTCCTCATGGAGGACCAAGCAGTGAGCCTGTCTGTATTGAGGGAGAATGAGAGAACAGTGAAATGAGAAAGGGGGCATCGAGCCAGTGTCCCTGGATCTCTCTGAGGTGCCATTCCAATAAAGGTCCATTGTGGCTGAAGCTCATCTGAGGTAGGTTTCACTTACCTGCAACCCAAGACAATGACGTCAGTGCCTTGAGCCACAGTCCCTCAGCATTGCTGGTTGTCATTCTGCCAGTCTTGTCCCTGCAGCCCTGGGCAGGACAGGAAGCTGTAGGGGGAAATGCCTCATGCTCCTAGGGCCTTTGGAGGCAGGTACCCCCTTCCAGGCTGCTCTAGTGCCCGCTGCCTCAACTGGGCCTTCCTAGCCTGGCAAAGGGGAGAAGAGGTTAAAGCTCTCACTATTTCCATCTCCCCTTGACACCAATGAAAACAAAAACAAGAAAAACATCTCTTCCAAAACAGCAAGTCAGCAGAACCAGTGGAGGAGCAAGTCATCAATTTTTTCCGGGAAACACTTTTCAAGGGTGTTAAAGATAGTCAGACACAAAAATAAGACTTAATTGGGCACTAGTTTCCCCTCAGGAGAACTGAACACAAAGATGAAAATGTGTAGGTTTTGAGGAGAGAGGTTTCTGGAAAATCAATAAAAGAAATCAGTGCCATCTGATTGTTTTTTTTTTTTTTTTTTTTGAGACAGTCTTGCTCTGTCCCCCAGGCTGCAGTGCAGTGGTACAATCTTTGTTCACTGCAGCCTCTGCCTCCCGGATTCAAGCCATTCTCCTGCCTCAGCCTCCCGAGCAACTGGGACTACAGGTATGTGCCACTGCACCTGGCTAATTTTTGTATTTTTAGTAGAGATGGGGCTTCAGCACGTTGACTAGGCTTGTCTCAAACTCCTGGCCTCAAGTGATCCACCTGCCTTGGCCTCCGGAAATGCTGGGATTACAGGCATGAGCCACTGTGCCCAGCCTGATTGCTACTTTTTAAAGTGGAGAGAACACTCTTAGCACATTTTTATTCGTATCTGATATCAAAAGAAATAACATCACGCACTTGTAACTCTGCAAACCCATGGTGAGGGCAGTCCTGCCCTTGGACTGGGGAGAAGGAAACCCTTGGGACAGGCTCATCACGAGTTCTCCTTATGGGAAAGGAAATCAGAATTCCTCGTCCAGACAGAGAGAAGAACCAAAGGGGACCACGACTTGAGAAAACGTGGCATGACTGAAGGCAAAGCTCACTTAAAAAGATGAGAAAATATGTTTTATAATTCAAGGTTTGTTCTTTTTAGAAATTAATATTCTATAAAAGTATCAGGGAAAGCAAAAGATAAGTCTGCTGAATTATTTGTGCACTTCTCTCGTGTGGCTCTGGAGTGCCTGGATGCCATGTTTGGCCATCCCCAGACACCCTCCCCACCCTTCTTCTCTTGCACCCTCCATTCTTCTCTGAGACCCCATGGCTTTGTCTCACGTTCCACCATGGGTTTTGGAAGATGACATCACACACCTTCCTCTCTTCACTGAGCATTTTAACATATTTCTTTCTTTTTTTTTGAGACGGAGTTTCGCTCTTGTTACCCAGGCTGGAGTGCAATGGCGCAATCTCGGCTCACCGCAACCTCCGCCTCCTGGGTTCAGGCAATTCTCCTGCCTCAGCCTCCTGAGTAGCTGGGATTACAGGCACGCGCCACCATGCCCAGCTAATTTTTGTATTTTCACTAAGATGGGGTTTCACCATGTTGACCAGGATGGTCTCGATCTCTTGACCTCATGATCCACCCGCCTCGGTCTCCCAAAGTGCTGGGATTACAGGCTTGAGCCACCGCACCCGGCCACATTTTAACAGTATAAAAACCATCAGCTAAGTTTCCTCCAAGTCCCCCAAACCAATCTGGCTCCCTTTTTACCCCTCTTTGTATACGAGGGCTTGTATCAGATTTTATTTCAAAAGGGGTCCTGCAGCTACCGCTGGCCTTGGGAACTCTTACAGACTGCACTCCAGAAGGAAGGAGGAGGCAATGTTCACATAGCTGGATCACCCCAACCTCGCCCGCCAAGTTCGCCATTTCCCTTGCAATGGAAAGAAAAAACCCTGGCCCATGGGGTGCTCCGGAAAGGTGACCGATTCACTTTCTTTTCTCTTCTTTTTTAAGAGGAGTCTCACTGTGTCATCCCAGCTGCAGTGCAGTGGCTCAATCTTGGCTCACTGCAACCTCCGCCTCCCGGGTTCGAGTGATTCTCCTGCCTCAGCCTCTGGGGTAGCTGGGACTACAGACACTTTCTTCTTTCACTTTTACTGACGGACACTTGTTCAGAGGGAGACAGCCCAGGTGCTCTGGCCTGAGGCTCTGACCAAAAATTTTGTCAACGCCACTTTAAAGTTAAAGAAGTATTAATTTTGAAGCTTTGGCCAGGTGTGTGTGTGTGTGTGTGTGTGTGTGTGTGTGTCCAAAGGTGGTAACTTTCGGATGGGTCTTCCTTGCTTCGTAAAAAGATATTAGCTGCCCTTTCAGTGTGGAAGTTGAGGCCCAGGACAGTTTGAATGAGGAGGTTGGGGCAAAGGAAGACAACGCCCGTTTTCTCTGAGTAGCTGTGCTGCAGAAGCGGGTGAGTAGGAGGCCTGGGGACCGGGGAAGCTGGGGTTTCAGGGGCAGGGAATAAAGATCTTGGAAGGAAGAGAGAGAAGCACTAAGGCAGCTGGCCTGGGCCGAAGGACAAGTGGCAGGAGATGCCCGTGCTGTGGATGGGAGGTGAGCCTGAGGACACGATGTCAAATACTCAAGTTCCCGGCCCACAGCTGAACACCCTCCAACACCTCCAAACCTTCAGTAATGCCCGTGGTGTGCCTGCCTGGACAGCACACTGGAGGGAGGGCTGGCAGAATGTTCCAGAGCAAGCCAGGGGCTGCAGAAGCATGGAGAGGAAGCGAGAATGTGTCCAAAGATGGTCAGAGAGGGCCTGGGGACATGTTCCCAGGTGAGAGTCCCCAGTTCACCTTCTGCCCCAGAACTCCTCAGACATAGTAGGGATGGTCCTAGACTTAACACCTTTATGCGGGAAAAGAGTGAGGTTTGTCTTGGATGTTAAAACAGCTGGTGATCCCAGAAGGCGGACTAGCCTGGGGGTGATTGGGACATGAAATGATCTCCAGCAGTTGGCGCTCTGATCTCTCTTCCCTTCATATCTCTTCTTTCCTCACTTCGGTTTCTCACACCTTCTTTCTATTTTTCTCTTCAAGGAAACGATGTATTTCTTTTCAGTGCAAACCCAGTGTCTGTTCTTGATTTTGAGCTTTCTCTCTTTTGTCTCAAGACGTTCAAAGCACCTGCCAACTACTCCATGGTTTCCCAGCTGGAGGAGCCCTGCCCTGCACCCTCGCAGCAGCCCTGAGGCAGACACCCCAGGGAGCACCTGCCTGGGGCACCCCAAGCTGGCAGCAGCATACAGAGTGGTCAGAAATGTGCCGTTAACTCTGGAAGGGCTGCTTAATAAATCACAGTTTTACTTCCCTCTTTGGTCCAAAAGTTGTGAGAGAGAGAGAGCGATTGTGTGCGTGTGTCTGTGTGTGTGTGTGTGTATGTGTGCGTGTGTGTTTGTGTGTGTGTGCGTGTGCGTGCACGCACTTCACAGGACATCACAAGAAAGTGAAAAGACAACCCATAAAATGGGAGAAAATATTTTGCAAATTACATTTCTGATAAGGCATATCTGATAAACTCTTACAACTTAATAATTTTATTTTTGAAATGACCCCAGTTAGCAAAGGGTCTGAATTGCAATTTTGCCAAGTCAGATAAACATCTGGCCAACAAGCACACGAAATGATGCTTACCAGCAGTTCCCATTGGGGACATGAAAATCAAAACCGCAGTGAGATACCACGTCACACCCACCAGACTGGCTACAATTTAAAAAGACGGCCAGAACCAGTGTTGGCAAAGATGTGGAAAATCTTTGGTGGTGATGGAAGAGATTTATTCTGCTGCTAGAAACTGCTAATGGACAAGGTTAAGCAGAGAATTACAGTTTTTTTGTTTCTTTGTTTGTTTGTTTTTGACACAGGGCCTGGCTCTGTCACCTAGGCTGGAGCACAGTGGCCCGATCTCAGCTCACTACAACCACTGCCTCCCATGCTCAAGCAATCCTCCCACCTCCGGCTCCTACCTCACCATTTCCCTTGCAATGGAAAGAAAAAGATTTATCAGATATACCTTACCAGATATGTAATTTGCAAATATTTTCTAGAGCAGCTATTTCTAGAGTAGCTGGGACTACAGGTGCCACCACTCTCAGCTAATTTTTGTATTTGTTGTAGAGACAGGGCCTCACTTTATTCCCAGGAGGGTCTGGAACTCCTGAGCTCAAACAATCTACCTGCCTCAGTCTCCCCAAGTGCTGGGATTACAGATATGAGTCACCTCACCCAGCCTGGAGTTACAATTTAACCCAACTGAAACATACGTCCACACAAAAGTTTGTCCACAAATGTCCATAGCACATTATTCAAAATACCAAAAAGTGGAAACAACTCCAATGTCTATCAGCTCATGAATGTGTAAATAAATTGTGACATGTCCAAACAATGGAACGTTAATTCAGCAATCCAAATGACTGAAAGACTGATACATGCTACAACATGGACAGCTTGAGAACATGCCGAGTGAAGGAAGCCAGACATAAGTTCTGACTGCGTGTGTACGAAATGCCCAGGACACTCAAATCCCTAGAGGGAAAGTACCTCTGTGGTTGCCTAGGGTGGGAGGTGGGTGTGGAGGGGGAGGGGACTGGGTGCTGACAGGTACCACGTTTCATCTGGGATGATGACAGTGTTCCAAAGCTGATTGTGGTGATGCCTGCCCAGCTCTGTGAATATTCTAAAAGCCATTAAATGATTCACTTTAACTGGGTGAATGGTATGCCTTATAAAAAAAATTTAGGCTGGGCATGGTGGCTCACACCTGCCATCTCAGCGCTTTGGGAGACTGAGGCAGGTGGATCATGAGGTCAAATGATCGAGACCATCCTGGCCAACATGGTGAAACCCAGTCTCTACTAAAGACACAAAAATCAGAAGGGTGTGTTGGCACGCACCTATAGTCCCAGCTTCTCAGGAGGCTGATGCAGGAGAATCACTTGAACCCGGGAGGTGGTTGCATTGAGCTGAGATCATGCCCCTGCACTCCAGCCTGATGACAGAGTGAGACTCTGTCTCAAAAATAAAAAGTTCAGCAAGATGTTGTTTTCTCTAAGACTTCTAAGCACTTGGGTTTTTGTTTGTTCAAGCTTTTATCATTAACGTCTAGTATTATCTTATTGTCATCAGAGAATGTTGCCAAAATAATTTTTTTTGAAATTAATTAAGAATTCTTTCTGGTTTAGCATATGCTCAATTTTTATTAATATTTTTCAGTGTTTGAAATATACATATATTTAATGACTTACTGAGCGCTTAAGCATGCGGGGTGCTATCCTGGATACTTCACACACATGAGCTCTGCTCTCAGCTCTGCAGTGGACACCTCCATTTCACAAGGAGGGTGCTGAGGCCCACGGGAGATCATCCCAGCTCCAGTGAGCCAGGGACCTGGGAACTGAGCCTGACCCTGCGGCTCCCAGAAGCCTGCTCACCACACTTGGTCACAATGCCCTTTCAAATGGCTTTTCTTTATGCAAAACAGCACTGAGTCATTTCTCTCCTTATCTGCAGCTCACATTGATATCGTTAAAAGACCATTTTGTAGGAATGGTTCCTTCTTCACATTATTGCTTCGATTCGGCAGTTAAAACTTGACTAGTGAATTTGAGACATAGAAAACACAGAAAAAAGCAACGTGATTCTCAACAGGACTTAGAAGATGTGAATAAACGGCCACGTAACTGAATGGATAGATTGAATTTGGTTAGGCTAGCCAGTTTCCCCCGATTTATCCATATCACACATTTAATATTCCTGTGAGATTTAAAAACCTTGTGTAAAAATCCTAAAATTCACCAGAAAGTAAAATCATCATTGGAATACCTAGAGATTTTTTTTTAAAACTGGAATAATGGAAGCGTCTCGTTCTACATAATATTCAACAGTGTCAGGAACTGTGCTGAAGATGCAGGAAAAGCAGAAGAGCGGATCTGATGCGTCAGTCTTTGAAACACAGTAGATGCCAGTCGGGGGTAAACCCAAGCAAAAGGAAAGCTAAGTGTCTGACAAAGGTGGCGTTTCATTCACTGAAGAAAGAGAATACTGTTTAAAAAAAGGAGGCTGGGATGGTTGGTTAGTTATTTTGGGAAACGTTTTAACTCCTCACTACATAAAACTTTAAAACTTTGATATACTAAAAACACCATTAACAAAACTTTAGGACAAACTTCAGATTGGAAAAATGTGTAGCAAATAAGCTATACGATTGATGATTTTGATTTATAAAGGACTCTTACAAACCAATGAGGAAATTGCTAACATCTCTCAATGGACGAAGAGGACACGTAGGTTTTAAAAGTATTAAAATGTATAAATAGCCGATAAGCCAAAAAAGAAATACAAATCAAAACAAATAAAAAATAATTAACTGTTGAAAGATAAAATTTCATATTTGTTGTTCATTGTAATAGTTTTGAGAAAGTCTTAGAAAAACAGCATTCTCATTGCTAACAGGGATATACATCCATGAAAACTTCCTGGGGCCAATTTGAAAATGTATCTCAAAAGCCTTAAAAATATGAATTCATTGTAATCTGACCATAATAGTACTAGGAATTCTTCCTTTAAAAAAATGGAGAAAGGAAAGGAAAGGAAAGGAAGCTGTGGATACCTGAATAGGGGATTAGTAAAGCACGTTAGGTTCAATCATTCAATAAACTATTTTGCAGCCTTTAAAAATGATGCAGGAGGACCAGGAGTGGTGGCTCATACCTGTAATCCCAGCATTCTGGGAGGCCAGGGTGGGAGGACTCCGTGAACCCAGGAGTTCAAGACCAGCCCAGGCAACATTGTGAGATCCTGTCTTTATAATAAATAAAAAAGATATCCGGGTGTGGTGGCTTATGCCTGTAGTCCCAGTTACTCTGAGGCTGAGGCAGGAGGATGACTTGAGCCCAGGAGTTGAGGAGTTGAGGCGGCAGTGAGTGGTAGTCCTGCCACTGCACTCCACCGTGGGCATCAGAGTTAGAGTTTAGTTAATAATATTGTCCTGGTGTTAACTTCTTCATTTTGACAAAGCTGCTGTGGTTTCCTAAGATATTAACATTGCAAGAAGCTGAATAAAGGGCAGTGGGAACTCTCTGGACTGTGTTTACAACTTTTTTGTAAACCTAAAATTATGACAAGAATTTAAAATTTTTTAAGTGGAGAGAATGCTAAAAATGATTCTATAGTTAAGAAAATATTCAATCGGTGTAATGCTATTCAGAGGGTTTTTTTCCCCCTAATAAGCAATAAAAAGCACATTTTACTTTTCATTGCAATGACTTTTTTAAACTAAATTTTTTAAATTGTAGATTTGGGGTACATGTGCCGGTCTGTTGCATGGATATGTTGAGTGATGCTGAGGTTTGGGGTCTATCGAATTCCTCCCCCGAAGAGTGAGCATAGTACCCTAGACGTAGCTTTTCAGCCCTTGCTCTCTCGCCTCCGTCTCTCTCCCCACGTTTGAAGTCCGCGGTGGCTATGCTTTCTGTCTTTGTGTCGGTGTGTATACCTATTCTTAGCTTCCCCTTGTAAGCGGAAGCATGCGGCCTAAGTGAGAACATGCGGTACTTGATTTCCTGCTTCAAATCAGACATTTTTTTTTAAACTGGTTATATCCAATAGTAAAATGCTAGTGTTAGTGCAAGGCAGTAATAGATGATGTTTCCTGTGTTTCTGAATTTCCTTCCATATATATATATATAATTGTTTTTAAAAGTAAACTGTTTTAAAAATCATGAAGAGTAAAAGCAACGTACTCTGGTCTGGACTCAGAAAAGTCCTCCCAGGGCCAGCGGACCACACCCACTGTAGTCCAAGCTAGTGCTGAAAAGGCAACGCGATGCACGCTGGAGAGAAACGGAGCGCTTTCCCGGAGAGCTTTCCAGGAAAGCCAAGCATTGCCATGCAAAGGGCGTTCGGGCTCTGAAACACAGTGGGACAAAAAGGCCTTGAGAACTTTTGGCAGAAGTGTGCTCCGTGCGAGAGCGAGAAAAGCGCCTCTCTCTGTGTCCTTCGATGGCCAGGAGGGTGTGCAGCCAGGAGGCAGAGAAGGTTTTCCAGGCTCAGGTGGCCTGGTGCCAGGCCCCGAAATGGGAACAGCAGAAATGTGGTCTGGCTGCTTGGTGTGAAAGGGGCAAATGGGAAGTGGGCGGTGTGCAGGGGGCAAAGCAGGCAGAGCAGCCCCTGGCTGTCACTCATGGCAGGGGAAGGTCAAGGCTGGACAGTGTGACCAGAGCAGGCAACGCTGAGGTGCATTGAGACGGGTCTCTCTACCCACCCATCGCTCTTGGAGCCGCACTGTGTTCCCAGCACAGTGCTGAGGGTTAGG